AAGGACACAAAAACTCATATTTTATCAATTTATGAAATGTCCCATGAGCCTTTGCTACTTGAGCGTGTGGCAGACTTTCTCCAAGTGCACAGACTAAAACAAAAGAGGGCCATTGCATAGGTTAATCGTTAAAAATAAAGAACTTTACTTTAAAAAGTATTTTTATTTCATGTAATATATTACTGCATTTGACCCGCAGCCCCCTATATATTTTCATTTTGGCCCTCTCAAGGAAAATGTTTGGGCACCCCTGGTACACTGTTTAGCACCTGTTCTGCTTATTTGAACTAAGTTTTCATTCATCAAATCATTCTCCAGTTAACTTCGGGAAAGTCAGAACTCAGCATTGACATGACATTTTCGTAGAGTATGCTATATCTGTCTTCTTAAATAATTTTTCTATAACACTAACAAGACAACTAATGAGGCTGTAGCTGGAGTAAATTTTTGTACACGTCAGACAAGTTGTTATGATGCAGCAAGTTCCATGAAGGTCTTATTGCTGTTAAAGATCAATAGTTAAGTTTGTAAAATGAAATTAACACTAACTGAATGACTGTATCACATGACCATACTGTATGTTTGGATAGAAGTACACTAAACAGGATGAATGTTTTTGCTCCTTTGATATTTCGTCATGAAAACAAAGCAGAACTCCGTTCAGTACTTTTACTTTGGACTTGGTAAGAGAGTGACATGCTTTGTGAACACAATCTTTGGTCTTCATTAGACTTTACCCCATTTCTCTCTCTCGTGTAATCTCTATGGAAATGAGTCTAACGACCCCCACCTTTCCCTTTTCTGAGCAAGGATGGGGTGGGAAGAAGCTTCAAGTCCTAATCCCAACAGCAAATGTGAAATAAATTAGCTTCTTCACACTTAACTAGCTCTCATTTGCATTTGTGGAGCATGCAGGCTGCCGCTAGGAGCCCCACCCAGACATTAAATCCTCAGGGAGACGGCAGACAGCGGTGTTGGAGGAGGAAGAGTACAGGATCAGATGAAGATGTTGAACTGCACCACCAGTGACTGGTCAGCAGAGCAGGACAAACAGTTGGCTGTGGCTACAGAGGAAATAATTATTCTCATCACCTTGTGCTGAAAGGCGAAAGTGAGCAATAGTGTTTTTATCATATCTGTGTGTGTTCATGTCCTATCTCCAGTTATCCCTGTATAAGAAGCAGGGGACACCCTGGACTGGCCTCCAGTCCATCACAGGGCCATATGAAGACAAAAAAGACAACCATTTACTCTTTCACTTACACACTGGAACAATTTAGACTTACCAATTAAGTTAAAATGGAGGTTTCAGGTTAATGACAGAAAACCAGAGAACCCAGAGAAGCACTGCATCACTGTGCTGTCCTCTCATGAACCACAGGATACATTTTATACATTTTATCTTTATGGAAGTACTGCTCATTGTGCAAGATTTTTGCCTAAAACTTAAGTATTAATGTTGGAGTCTGTTAGCAAAATATCTCATGATTCACTAAACAGATTTTATTAAAACATTTTTAGAAATGAATCATTAAATGTACATCTACAGTTACAATTTTGGAATCAATCCAGCATAACGGCAGATGATTGACATAAGCAAACACAAATACAACTCAGTGAGTTTTAGAGATACTGAACTAAAATGTGGTGTGGTAGTAGCTGAGAGATACAGTATTTAGAATAAAAGCAAAGCCTGATGAGATGGAACATGACTATATTTAAAGCTTGACCAAAATGATTATAACTTCATCATTATAACAAAGGATATACAGTACATTTTGGTAACACACACACACACACAGATGGGTAAAAACATCAAAATTCTCCTTTGCTTTAAGTCAGTGGGCAATAAAAACTGAATGAAGTATTTACCATGTTGACTGTAAAGTGCTTAAGATGGTGTTCCCACCTGTTGGCTCTCTTGGTAAGATGGAGAAGGAACACTCTGGGTGGCCATCATTGTCACTGCAGGTGTTGAGGAAACATGTTGCATCATGGGACAGCTTCACGCTGAGACTGAAAAACCAAGAGAAACAAACACAAACAGGAAACATGAGTTTAGTTTGAGGTTGTAAATTCTCTCACAACAGTTGCCACTAGAATCTACTGTGACTAAATGATCCAACAAACAAAAGTTCTGGCTTCCCCTTCCTGTCTTCACTGAGCAGTGTTGAGTGATGCTTGAGTACAAGTACAAGTATTTTACTATAACATGTTGATGACACCTGGGTTAAAATTAAATCCCAGGAAGTTCAACATTTCACTGATCACATCAACTCTGTGGATAAATATATAAAGTTCACACCAGAGGATGTAAAAGATGGCAGGTTGGCGTTCATGGACTGTGATGTCTCAGTTTCGGATGGGGGACAGATGGAAACTGATGTGTATCTCAAATCCACCCATACAGACCAGTATTTGCGTTTTGATTCCCATCACCCACTGGAACACAAGTTAGGAGTGATCAGGACTCTGTAGCACAGAGCAGACAGTGTCCCTACAAACCCAGGAGCCAGGCAGAAAGAGAATTCACACACAAGAAAGGCCCTGGAGCAGTGTGGTTATCCTAACTGGGCTTTTCTGAAAGCAGACAAGAAACCCAAACAGGATTCCAGCCAACAACCAGCTGAAAATCAAGACCCTAAACCCAGACCCAAACCAGTCGTCATTCCATATGTGGCGGGAGTTTCAGAGAAACTGATACGTTTATTCTAAACATGACGTCCCAGTGGCTTTCAAACCCCAAAACACGTTGTGACAAAGATTAGTTCACCCCAAAGATCCAGTTCCCCGGTAAAAACAGAGTAATATAGTGTATGCTGTTAAGTGTCAGGAGGACTGTGCTTAGTTATACATCGAGGAAACAAAACAGCCACTCTTCAAAGGAATGAGCCAGCACAGACAAGCTACATCGTCGGGTCAGGCCTCTGCAGTTTACACTCATCTACAGGTCAGGAC